AAAAGAGTTAAAAAAGAAAAAATAAGTGATTTAAGAAAATTATATAAATAACATTAATGATGAGATGAAGATTAAGAAAAAACGTCAAATAAATTAGTAGTATTGATGATGATAAAAGTTAAATAAATCATTTTTTCTATTATTTAAATTTTTAACATAAAATTTCCAATGTTTTAAAATTAAAAATAAATGTTAAAAAATAAAATAAAAATGGAGGCTATAATTATTTTATTAAAGAAAAATATGTGTAGAGAAAGTAGAAGTAGATGAAGTTACTTTAGTTCATCTTTTTGGTGGGCCTCAATGTACAATTTCTATAGCTTTTAGTCCAACTCTTTAGTGCAATGTTGATCCTCCAAACTCCCATTTCTAAATAAGAGTAAAGTAATAACTAGATGGAGAAGGCCCGTGGCAAGCACGGGCCCAATATTCAAACTAATATAGCTGAAATTTGTTCAGTGAAGCAGCTATGTACTTATTATGCTTCTGAAAATATTAATGACGCAAGAGTCAAGACTACTGCAAAAAATGGTTAATATCATACTATTAGAAATATTCAAAATATGTACAACTGATGCCAGTATGGTGTCTACTTAAGCTATCTACAAACATGAACTAATGTTATACATCCAAAAGATATAGCAAATGTTTTAGTTTTGACATATAACATGACTATTTCGTAATTTAGCAAATATAAAATGCTAAGTCAGAGTTTGATTTTTAGTAGCTAATCTTCTGCATTCAAAAAATCATAGCATAGGGAGCTATTGAGGAACCTGAGAAAATTGTGTAATGTTAGTAAACCTGAAAAGTTGAGGAAATTGATGATGGAAGTGAAACTGTTAGAAAAGTGGCATATCACATAAGAATGCGGTATAGCACATTACTTGCAGCTCATTTGATATTGACATTTCTTTCCTCAACATAGAAGAGTTCCATCTATCGGAAAAATAAAAATCACATATATAATACATACATATTGTATACATCAGTAATCACATACATAAAATGTCTCGAATTACTCTTGAATAAATTTAAGTTATTTCTTTGGTTTAACCAAAGCTAGACAACCCGAGTCATGCACAGAGTAATTTCAAGACATTTAGAGATGACGGATAAAAGTAAGTCCGTTGACAATTTTCAGAAGCCTGTAGTCCTTTTGAGATTCATTGGAGCTTCTTTCTGAATCTTGATGTTTCATTAATGCAAGGTGAAGTTGAACAACTCCTCCTATTACTGCAAGAATTGGCTCTCGAATGGATTTATGAGAAACCAACACCTAATGGAACTTTTCTCTTACTGTATGCTACCATTCTCAAATTCCAATCATTTGTTTGTTTTGTCCTTAGCAATGATGAGTTTAGGAGATCTATGTTGCCGGTTTCTTGATCATTTTTCTTCGTTAAAACAGGTTAGAGCCTCACATAATGGAGTGATAGTCTCTTTGGATAATTCTAATTGTGAGCTAGCATTTAAGGTTGGGTTAGGCCCCAGAGTGAAAATTATTTTCACGTGATATTAGAGCCAAGGTTAATCCTTGTTTCAAACTCATATTATGGGTTAGGCCCCAGAGTCATATTTTCACGTGATATTAGAGCGAAGGTTCATCCTAATTTCAGACTCATATTATATTGTTGAATTGAACTTAATCTACAATGACAACCTTGTGTAATAAATAGCTTGTATAATGTTATGTTATTTTCCAAATTACATTGATAAAAAGTTTAATGCGTTCGTACCTTGATAAGTAGATATTCCTATACTCCTTTCAAGGATTACAATAAGATCTGCATCTTTTTCCATTCGAGCCTCAATTTCATTTCCTTCTATTTCTCCAAAATCCTCCCATTGACAATGACCAAGCAATAACTGTAAAAGAATATTACTTAAACCACCACAGTGTGTATGTGTTATGATGATCCAATCTATAAAGTTCATCGTAGTACTCTAAAAAGAAACATATGAACTCGAAATTTAAATCTCACAGCTTAGCAATTTATATTAAGAAAAGAAAAAAGGGACTAAAACATAACTAATAGTTGAAATCCCTTTTTTTCTTTTCCTCTTTTGGATCTAATTGTTCGAAATCCTTAGAAATGCAATTTTTATCAAAGCAAACAACTAAAGTCCAATAAAAGCTACTTTCAGAAATATATTTATCACCATTTATCTACAAAAACTCCAAAAAGGTACAAAGCTTTCTCTAATTGTGGGCCTGTGGCTATTTACTTTGATTCAGATTTCAGAATAACTAAAAGACCATGAAAATAAAACTCAAACAGAGAAGAAAAGTCAAAACTTGAAGCACAAAACAAACCCGCAATCTAGTTATAAAGTCCTTTTTTTTTCTTTTTTTACCCTCAATAGGAGCTCCCACCTATTTTGCTCCCTTGGTGACTCGAACTCGCAACCTTCGGGTTGGAGGTGAGGGGTGCTTACCATCCGAGCAACTCCCTCTCGTCAATCTAGTTATAAAATCAACTTTCAATAATATATTTATCATCATTTACTACAGAAACTCGAAAAAAGCACAAGGCTTTCCCTAATTGTGGCAATTTACTTCCATTCAGGTTTCAGCATAACTAAAAGAACAATAAAACAAAACTCAAAAAGAGAAGAAAAGTCCAAAATTCAAGCACAAAACAAACCCCACAATCTAGTATTTCCATATCTTTTGTCAATTAAGAAAAACAACCTCAAGAAACAAAGAAAATACAGAACCCCATTTCCACAATTGACAACACAATATTTAAATGTTAACACTTACTGATTGTCACCAATGGTAATTTCTCGACACCTATTATTACCACGACCTGCAAATTTTAGAGGACCACAACGAAGAACGATTGTCAATATATTTGCTTATAATACATAAGGAAATGTTATAAGTGTGTATCAGTAAACATGTATATTTCAGCATGGTAATAGCTAGTAGGAACAATATACCAATTTCAGTCGTAGAATCAACAGTCATATGAGCAATGCGGAAAGGTTGTGACATTCATCTTGGTCAGTGGCGGAAGTGGTTTCTCAAGCTCATCAGATGGTTTGATAAAATCAACTTTCAATAATATATTTATCATCATTTACTACAGAAACTCGAAAAAGGCACAAGGCTTTCCCTAATTGTGGCTATTTACTTCCATTCAGGTTTCAGAATAACTAAAAGAACAATAAAACAAAACTCAAAAAGAGAAGAAAAGTCCAAAATTCAAGCACAAAACAAACCCCACAATCTAGTATTTCCATATCTTTTGTCAATTAAGAAAAACAACCTCAAGAAACAAAGAAAATACAGAACCCCATTTCCACAATTGACAACACAATATTTAAATGTTATACTTACTGATTGTCACCAATGGTAATTTCTCGACACCTATTATTACCACGACCTGCAAATTTTAGAGGACCACAACGAAGAACGATTGTCAATATATTTGCTTATAATACATAAGGAAATGTTATAAGTGTGTGTATTAGTAAACATGTATATTTCAGCATGGTAATAGCTAGTAGGAACAATATATATGCCAATTTCAGTCGTAGAACCAACAGTCATATGAGCAATGCGGTCAAAGGTTGTGACATTCAGCTTGGTCAGTGGCGGAAGTGGTTTCTCAAGCTCATCAGATGGTTTGACATGTTGAATTACCATTTCTTTGTCAAGAACCCAATAAAATTTATGTATTGACTTACCGTACAAAGTTAACTCTTGCAGTAGAGATGAGATAGGTATCCAAGAGTTTAAGCTTGTCCGCATATTGTTCAATTTTATCAGCATACATAATTGCCCTAATGTGGTGCTCCTGAAAGTAAAAGTTATAGAAAATTGAGATTATACTACTCAACAATGAAAGTAAAGTCTAACTTTCTAAACAGTCACTTCTTCAAACACATCAGATGTGTGCAAAAAATAAATGTGAACTGAAACGTAAGCACTTATCGATCCTTTGTTTGAAAGACATAAAACAAGAACCCCATTTCCAAAATTGACAACACAATATTTAAATGTTAACACTTACTGATTGTCACCAATGGTAATTTCTCGACACCTATTATTACCACGACCTGCAAATTTTAGAGGACCACAACGAAGAACGATTGTCAATATATTTGCTTATAATACATAAGGAAATGTTATAAGTGTGTGTATTAGTAAACATGTATATTTCAGCATGGTAATAGCTAGTAGGAACAATATATATGCCAATTTCAGTCGTAGAACCAACAGTCATATGAGCAATGCGGTCAAAGGTTGTGACATTCATTTTGGTCGGTGGCAGAAGTGGGTTCTCAAGCTCATCAGATGGTTTGACATGTTGAATTACCGTTTCTTTGTCAAGAACCCAATAAAATTTATGTATTGGCTTACCGTACGAAGTTGAAGAAACTTTAACTCTTGTGGTAGAGATGAGATAGGTATCCAAGAGTTTAAGCTTGTCCGCATATTGTTCAATTTTATCAGCATACATAATTGCCCTAATGTGGTGCTCCTGAAAGTAAAAGTTATAGAAAATTGAGATTATACTACTCAACAATGAAAGTAAAGTCTAACTTTCTAAACAGTCACTTCTTCAAACACATCAGATGTGTGCAAAAAATAAATGTGAACTGAAACGTAAGCACTTATCGATCCTTTGTTTGAAAGACATAAAACAAAATTGCACTAATTTCAGTAGAAAAAATGCACTCAAATAACAAACCAGCACACGATTAGGATATCAACATGGGTAAAAATAAAAGAACAATATTCATCAGCTAATGACCTACAATTTATAAGTCATGAAATACATAGTAGTGAATATTTTAAACTTACCTCTTCATCTTCAAAAATCAGATTTTGAAATCTAAATTTCTTATAAGGACTTTATCGTGGGCGACTCATGTCCACAATTTGAACTTTGCAAATCCAATCTTGTTGTCTATTGCTATTCGGCCGATGTTCAATCTTAGTTCCATGTTTCTACCAAATATTTAACCTAGCAGTAGGATAAGTGTTACAAATCGTTAAAGTTTTTTCTTTTTTTGTGGTTGCATGAGCAATGTCGATTTAGTAGATAGAAAAAACGCAATATGGATATTTCAAACCAAATTAGGAACATAATTACCCATTTAACATACTGAAAAAATAGAAAATGTAACAAATACCACCTAATTTTGCCTGCTCACTAACAAAATCGGAAGGTAAAGTAAGAATAATAACTCTGATTTTCTCCTGCCTAGTAAAAAATCCGAAGGTGTAGTAAAAAATAGGAACTCCCATTATGATTTCTCGTTTGATCGCAAACAAAATCCGCAGGAAAAGTTGAAAACTGCGAAGAGTAAAAACAACTAAAGGAGAAAAAATACCTGAGAAGAGAAGAATAGCAAAACAACAAAAACTTTTCTTCAAGGGAGCAGAATGAATTTGTATTTTTTTGTATAAATAAATATAATACAAAAAAAAAAAACAAATACAGCTGTCTTCTTAGAATGTAATGAGGTTTTGATTGACAATGAAATTGGGCCAAAAAGGGGAAAAACTTACTATTACATTTTGAACAGCCTTTGGTACAATTGTTTAATAGTCCAATTTGAACAGCCTTTGTTACAACTGTTTAGTGTTGTGTTGGTACAGCCAAACTGTCCTTTCTATAATAAGGGTAATAATAAAATGCAAGTGTTAAGGAATTTAAAATTTTTACCATTAAGATCACAAACGCTAAAAAATATGGTATATCACATTAATTGCTAGATTATGCACATTAAGTATTTATACCAAACTGCTATTCGAATAATTTAATAGTAGTAAACAGTAATTACGAATTCGAATGAAAAATATATATTATTATTTAAAATTTTATTATTTCAATATTGATAGTGTGTGAGAAATTTAACTATAGTAATTACATATATTGAGTGGAAATGTATTTTACTTTTTGATATTTTATTTTTTGAATGGTGTTTAGAGAGCAGTTTGTGCGCACCTCAACTAATGTTATGTGCTATTTGTTATTTCCCACCAACATAAGTATTAATGACCGTTTATCTCTATAAAGGTTTGTGTATATTAGAAGAAATTATCTAGTAGTTATATTTTTTTAAATGAGTTAAATTTGAATCACTTCATTAATCACAAAGTCAAAATTATAGTGCTACAAGAATAAATATTAGTCGACTGTAATTATAAATATGTGTTCTGTACAAGACATGTTATATTGATTTATATAATTTGATGTAAACATTAATTCTTCATTATTAGTTTTTCAAATCTAAAGGTGAATCGAGCCAGCTACCGACTTCACGGCTGAGAATTTTTGCATTCAAATCATTTTCTATATAGAAAATATTTTAAAATCTGAATATGTTTTTAAGTTTAAATCTAAGTACAATTTTTGCTTAATTCTCAGCTGTAAAGTTAGCAGCTGGTTCGATTTCACCTAGCAAAATTGAAAATAATAATATTTAAGGATCAATGTTTACATCAAATTTTATAAATAAAAAATATAATATTTACAAACAAATTTGTAATTATAGTAAAATAATATTCATTCTCACAATACTAAATATTTGACTTTGTGATCAATAAAGAGAGTTAAAAATATTGAATTTTGTGTTTAAATCTCTAGAGTAGATAAAAATACTAAATAATTTATCATATATTCAAAATTTGATAGAAATAATTATCCATACTTATGTTGGTGGGAGAAAGAAAACACCCCATAAAATTAGTTGAGATGGTGCATGCAAGTAGTCCCCCAAACACAACAATAATAATAATATACATTTTTCACTCAAATGTATAATTACTATAATAAAATTACTCACACACCACCAATATTAAATAATAAATTTTAAATTATATTAATACATTTACACTCAAATCTATAATTACTACTATTAAATTATCTTACCCATTTAATATAAATATTAAGTGTAAATCAATGTTTATCTTGTAAGTAATGTGATACACCTTATTTTTCTTAGTGTTTGTGATCTTGCTTGCTGATCCCTTGTATATTTGTATTTTGTATAAGGGACTTGAAGCTAGAGTAGGCAATTAAAGTTATAGGTCTAAAAAAAATTATGCCTTTTTTTTAATCAATTATATATAGATACTAAAGCTTATACTTAAGCTTGATTTTGAGCCTAAAAAAAAAAAACTTGATTTGGAATTAGGGTCTATCCAAGGCCAAAAAATAAGTTTCTATTATGTCAATTTTGAGTTGAACAAAGAAATTGATATGCTTACCAATAAGATCACAAACACTGATTTTTTATTTCTGTTGCTCGCATTGTGGATATTATTTTCTTCTTGTTCAACTTGCGCCTATTGATGAAAATGTTCATTTTTCTACACATAAAACAAAACAAGTAGTTAGACTAAAATAGTAAATAATCTCATAAAAATCAATGATGCATATCGTCAAAATATTCAGAATTTAAATAATATAAAATACATTGAGTTCAAGAGTGAACCTTGCTTGAGACGGAATGATGAAAGTATGATTGGCTTTTATAGTAATATGTGAGTGTGGACTTATTAATTAGTATATCAAATTCAAAATAAATAGATATTTTTTAGGATAAGAATGACTTTAAAAAACGTGTGATAGACGTGTCATAAACTTTTCTATCTAAAATATTTTAGATCAATGAGTGATATTTCTTAGGATAAAAATGATTCTTAAAACGTGTGATAAAGCTTATCTATCTAGAAGATTGTGGATTAATAAGTAGATATCTTTTAGGATAAAATTAATTCTTGAAAACGTGTGATAGACGTGTCATAAATGTGCCTATCTAAAAGATTGTGGATCGATAAGTAAATATACGTCTTTTAGGATAAAATTATTCTTGAAAATATGATAGATATATGATAAGAATGATTTTTGAAAATGTAGCAAATATATCTTAAACTTATCTATCTAGAATATTGTGGATCATTAGTATAATTATAGATTGATATTGTTAATGTTATATTTTATAAGAAAATATTTTTGACACTATATTCTAAATTAATGATCACAGGT